TTATTTGGAAAGGCGGTTTCGATTTTGGTTCCTCTTCTGGTAAGCAAACCCAGCTACCTTTTGAAATCATTTTTTTGTATGCTTGAATTTGTGTAATACTATGAAGGTCGTAATGCGGCATCTAAATATAATTCATTTCTCGTTTCCAGCGCTCAGAATTTTTGCATGTGTTCGCTACGACCCCTTCGTACAGGTCCCTCCTGCACGTCCGCAAACAGCACACTTCAAATAAATCAGATTTTCACCACTGTGAAAAAAAAAAGTTTTCAAGTCTGGACAGATCTGTTCCAATGATGCTTTGACAACAGAATGTCAACAAATATTTAACTGCGACGATAAATCACTGAGTAAGGCTGCACCGTGTTTATGAGACCAGACAGACTATTATCAAAAGTTGAATCTATTGTTAACACTATAGCCGAGCCTATCAAGACTTGGATTGCAAGCGAAAGTGATCATCGGTGGAGGCCCACACATGAACACAGCAGAGTCATCCGAAGGAGGTGGGAGATGCTCCTATAATGTGTCGATTAGGCAATCTATGCATAATGAGCATGAGTAAAAACAGGCGAACCTTGATCATTTCATCATTCACGAAACCAACGGAAAACTTCCAGTTTTCCGGGGGACGATCAACAGTATACCGGACAGTGAACCTATCGCTATGCATCGAAGCCAGATCATCTAGTTCCTTCCTAAAGGCTATGGAAAACTCTGGAATGTAACGTGCTTGAAGCGAACCTGCAGAGGATATCTTCTTCAGACTGATTGCCAAAAAGTAAACTAATCCGAGTCTTATCGTCAACATTTTTGAGTATGGCTGTAATTATCTGCAAAGACAAGACTGTACATAGCGCCTTATAAAGTGGTATGAAGAAAACGGGAAATTTTATTAAAATTGTATGAAGGGTACGCCCGCACAAACCTGCAGCATTGGCGTTATGCCGGTCCCGCCAGCAATCATGCCAATGCTTTTGAAGAAGCGTTCTTTAGGCGGAGATTTTTTGTCCG